TCCCGCTCCCAACCCTCAGCGGGCTCCGGTCTGCTCCATGTTCCTCACTATGCCCGCCCCACCATCGGTGGTCGAGCCTTCAGCCTCCCTCCCCCACCACACCCTTTGGAACTCCATCCCACAGTCCTTTGGCCTCCCTCCCCTCTCTTCCCTCCTTCAAGACCCTCCTCTTCGACCGTGCCTTCGGTCACTCTCCTACCTCTACCCTCCTCGCCCTCCACCCCTCCTGATCCCAACCACCAGCTCGGGTGCATGTCCTTGACTGTTCAGCGCCTTGGAACATCCTCCCAACGTGAAAGGCACTGTGTAAATGTAATTTGTTGTTGTTGTAGCAGTAAACTGTGGGGTGAGGTACAGAGAGAGACACAGCCTTGGAGCCGAACCGAGCAGGGCAGGGAACTCACAGGGTTTAAAGCGACAACATCTTGCATTTATATAGCGCCCTTCACACCGAATGGCGCTTCTGAGCGCCAGAAACCACTGGCTCACATCTGGTTCCCCCCCCACCCTCCCCACACACACACACACTAGTATTCTATGCTTTCTTTGGAGCAGCCCTGCAGCTAAACCACTTAGTGAGCTCTGATGAACACAATGTGATGGGAGAACAGGATTTTCTATCGACTTCAACAGAAATACTTATTAGGAATTCAATTAGGTGAAGTCCAGCGTACTGAATTTCTATCTCCTCCTCTCACATGTCAACCTGCAATCTGCTCTCTCTCTCTCTCTCTCTTTCTCTCTCTGTGTCTCTGTCTCGTGTTCTCCCGCGTCCCCTAACCCAAGCTCTCTGCTCGTCTGGCACCTTATTCAAACAAGGCAGATTGTTTGCCAACCTTAACACAACACACACACACACACACACACACAATGTCCGAGTGTTGTTTTTATTTCTAACCCGCGCGATCCTCTCTGCTGCTGACGGTGACAGTGGGAGGGTAGCAGGGGAGTGGTGGGGAGTGGAAGGAAAAGAGAAAAGGGGGGGATTTTATTCACTGACGGTGTAGTGTATGGCAAAGATTTCCAGCTCAGCCTCCCCTCCCCCAGCCGTGAGATCCGAGCACAGGGGGGAAGAGAGAGAGAGAGAGAGAGGAAAGTTACAATGATGTCCAGTCATGTGTGTGAAGGGGCAGACTCGCATCCAAAAGGGTCGGCGGAGCACCAGAGAGGTCAGATTCAGGCAACCCTCTCGGCTCAACTCAACAACAACAACTTGCATTTATACAGGCCTTTTTACGCGGGCTAGCTTCCCGAAGCAATATAACTCGAACCAAACTCACCCGACCCAGTCTATCCACACGGTTTACATGTCTGTAAACACTGGGGCCGGGTCAGCGTTTGCTTTGAGTGGAGACTCATTGTGACTCAGTCCATAGCACTCTAATCTGAGGACTTTTAAGTTTGCATTTAAATTTGCATTTCAATTTTTTTTNAAACCAATTTCTAAAAAAAAAATTCATTTCTATAAAGTCCTAAAAAAAAATGAAATGCACAAATCGCCAAAATAAAGAAACTATGAACGAAGCTGTCTTTTTTTTTCTCAGGGTCCAGGGAATATTCCTCGCGAATTGATGAAGGCAAAATAATTTGTCGGGGAGCCAAGTTTCCTTACTCCACACGCCTCTGTTTACCTAGCAGTAAGTAGAAACCCGGTTGTTAGTTCATTGATCGCTTTCCGGGGGTAATAAATCCCTTCATCGGAAAGCTTAAATAGACTATGAACTTAAAAGTCCCGAGATGAGAGTGCTATGGACTGAGTCACAATGACACCTTCCTCTTTTCTCCCATCTCTTTGAGGCGTCTTGAAGACGTGATAAGGCGCTATGCCAAAGTCAAGGATTATTATTATCCCACCATCCCCTTCCCCTGCGACTACAACTCATTTTGAGGTTACGCACTGTCGGGACGTTAAACCAAGGTCCAGTCTGCCTATTCGAGTAAGTGTTAAAGATCCCGTAGGACTATTCGAAGAGAGGACTTTCTCCCAGTGTTCTGGCCAACATCCCCCCCCACCACCCCAGCTTAAGGTTAATTATTCACTTGCTGGTTGTTCCCGAGAAATTCCTGTGTGCAACTTGGCTGCAGTGTTTGTCTGCAAAAACACAAGTCACTGGACTTCACAGTAAATCCCGTGAAGCGGTTTTGAGGATTCCCGACCACGTGATATATCAAATGTTATATCAAATGTAGGGATTATTTATTTACAGTAATATCATTTCAACCTGCAAGGCCATTTCACTTTAAAATTTACATTCGTGTAGAATTGTGCGAAATTCTTAAACCCAGGCTTAATTCGGAAGGCTGTTTCCTTAGCTAAATGAACGACGACAAATTACATTTACGCAACGTCTTTCACGTCGGGAGGACGTCCCAAGGAGCTGGACCGTCAGGGATTTGGACCCGAGCTGGGGGTTGGGATCAGGAAGGTGTGGAGGCCAAGGAGTGTAGGGGGTAGGAGGATGACTGAAGGTGCGGTCGAAGAGGAGGGTCTTGAGACGGGCCTTGAAGGAGGCAAAGGAGGGGGCGAGGTGAAGGGACTGTGGGATGGAGTTCCAAAGGATGGGGGCAGAGAGGCTGAAGGTCCGACCGCTGATGGACATGCAGCAGGCCAGAGTCTGCTGAGCAGAGAGAGCTGACAGGTTGGTATGGAGATTAAGCCGGATTCCGAATTACTGCACAACAGTTACAGTATTCCTGAATTTTGTTTCAGGAAGGCAAGCAATTAAGCGAGGCGTGGAAAGGATGGGTTTGATATCCTGCGAAGTCTTGAGTGTGCGTGTCCACTCCGCTCTTTGCACAGCTGTAGATTCTGATCTCTCCACCAACTCCCTGACAACAACCATCAACCCACAAACAGCTTGAACCAGGATCACAAAAAAAATTTGTAGGTAAGCGCTGTGATGGGGATTTTAAGCCATTTACTGTCATCGCACACAGCGAGCCATACTGATTTGCTTCTCTGACAATTTATTATTAGTCACTTTCGGGGCCATTTAATGAACTGGGTGTGAACGAGCACTGCTCTGAGCTTTTGAGCCTGAGAACAGAACAACGACATTGCAATTTCACCTTTCGTGAACATATCCCCGCACTTTACAGACACGTGGATGGATCACGTGGAACACTGAGCAAAGTGTGAAGGCGGGAGGGGGAAAGTAAGAGGAAGAAGGTGTTTGGAAGCTCAGTCGAGGAAAACAAGTACTTGTAGGAGAGTTTTGAAAGAGGTGACGACCCTCCGTATAAAAATTTGGTCACTCGCTCCACGACTGTTTGTTTGTGGGACGCTGCTGCGCACACACAATTGGCTGCCGCCTTTCGCCCACAAAGTACACAGTCACTCCACGTTGCAATACATTCTGTGAAGCACTTTTGAGACGTCTCAATGATGTGATAAGGCGCAATATGAAATGCAAGGATTATTATTATTATATTGGTGTGGGGGTGGGCGGAGGTAAGCGGGGTCTCCTTGGAGCTGAACTGGCTCCAAGGTGACACATTTGGCAACGGAAAGTCAGAATTGAGCCCAGCCCTCTGTGTCGGTCTCTGTAGACCGGTTCCTGAGTCGGGCGAGTCCGCAGTATTCCAGGGCACTGCTGATGGCAGCACAGCCCAGCCTGGCTCATCGATGGAGGACAGGGGAAGAATCTCCTTGTGATTGTTTTGAAGTTACTTCAATGGAATGGAATTCACCCCGACGTCATGTCGGACCCCACATTGTGCAGGGGATGGGGGGGGGGGGGGGGCAGGGAGTGTGAGGTGGGGTGTGGTGGGGGTAGGGGAGGCTGCGATTGCTGCAAAATCAAAAGCAAAGCACATGCACAGCAACTGAGGCCAACATTTACTCAACAGATAAAGGAATCGTCTTTCCATTTTGTTTTTCAAAGGACATTCATTGACGGCGAGAGGGTAAACAGAGCGTGGACTACTGTCTCTCTCTCCCTCCCTCCCTCCCTCCCCAACCCCTTATTCACCCACATACTCATACCCACCCACTCCCTCCTTCCCTCCCTCTCTCATAACCCACCCTGAAATAGATTTCAGTCGAACTGCACAATGAACCTCGGGAAAGGGTGGGGGAAGGTCTCGTGCCTTGAACCCAACAAAGACATTACAAATTCCCTTTGTCGGGCCTTGGGGAGAGGGGTGGAATAGCCGAGCCATCAATTGTTAAGACCGGTGATCCCAAGTTTCCACTCAGAGCCAACCAGCCAATGCTCGCAACTCCTCATTTGTATCCCAAAGCTGTGCCTGGCTCCATGGAAACCGAGCGAGGAGATTAGCGAGCCACGGCTCGTCCGTCCATCTCCGTCCGTCCGTCCGGGGAGAGGGAGGCTGAGGGCGAGTCTCGCCGCACACCCTCACCCCACCCCACCACCACCCCACCCCTCCATTCCCCACCCCCCGCGCAGGGTCACTTCCCCCGAGAGAGAGAGAGAGAGAGCGAGGGCGGGCGGGAGGAGAGAGGGGGAAGGGGAAGGGGAGTGGGGGGGGGGGGGGGAGAGGCTGCATCGCTGGCCCCACCCCTCCTCTCCGCACGGCCTGAATTGAGGATGAACAAAAGAAGTCGTTTGGGACTGCTCTCATTCCGGGCCCGGGTCTCCATGGTGACTATGGCACCAACAGGGAGGGAAGAGGAGCGGAGAGGCCCCTGCATTCAGCTGCTGGATGAATGATTAAAGCACAACCTACTGAATCTAGTGGGCTGGTGGGGCCCACAACCTGGTGTTTAAACCTAGGGAAGGAGGGAGGGAGGGAGGGAGAGGATACCGAGCCTTATTGCAAGGGAAATATTTAAAAATACAGTAAAAATACGACTCACACAAAGTACGCGAAACTGGCGTGGAATATAAACTCTTGTAGCGGGACTCGGGCAGATGTGTGACTTAAGTGATTAGATGATGTAAACGGGTCAGACTTAATGCAATTGATGAGCAGGAAACAGACGGGGGTGGGTGGGGGTGGGGGGTGGGGAGGTGTGGGGAAGCTCTCTTTTCACTCACCTTTCCAAACTGGTCAAAATATTGCTTGACATCCTCGACCGTGGTATTTACAGACAATCCGCCCACAAAGATCTTCTTTGTTCTGGTCACCATCTGATGGAGGGAGGAAAAGCAGGTTCTAGTTAAAAGGGGCTGTGTTTTTCTTTGTGTCCTGCATGTCCGAAACCCTCTGAACGCAGGTCTGTGTGGTGCACAGCCCCAGTCAAAGGTCGCTCCGCACCGGATCCTCAATGATGCAAGAAGAACCTTAAACGGGATGATTGTTTAAGTTATTTATTTCGTAGCAATAATAGTTATAATCGTAGAATCATACAGCACAGAAGGAGGCCATTCGGCCCATCGTGTCTGCACCAGCTCTTTGAAAAGATCTATCCAAATCAATCCCACTCCCCCGCACTCTCCCTATAGCCCTGCCAACTTGTCCTCCCCAAATAATTATCTACTTCTCACTTAAAAGTCATTATCAAATCGGCTTCCACCAGCCTTTCCGGCAATGCATTCCAGATCCCAACAACTCACTGTGTGAAAACATTTTTTCTCACCTCCCCCTGTGTTTCTTTTTACTTAACGCAGCGCCTGCCTGGAAGTTTCGAAAAGTTTAAAGCGCTTCAAAGGGAATTGCCATCAAGCATAGTCAAACACAGCAGCCAATCTGTACACAGCAAAAGGCCTGCAAACAGCCACAAAGTGAATGGCCAATTTATCTGGAGGAGTGTTTGTTTGTTGTATGTAGACAGTTGCTACACTTTACCGTATAACCTGTGAAGCGCTTTGAGGCGTACTTCTGACTCAAAAAGCACCGTCTCAAATGTAAGGAAAATTATTATTATAATAAATCTCTCTCTGCCTCCCCCTCTATTTCAGGACTATTAATGTTCTGACCACACGTCTGCCTCTAAAGACATCCAAGTCCTGAACGAGCCTCGATTGCCTTCAGCTCCCGCCATCACTTCTGGTTACCCCAACCTTTCTGGCTCCTCTCTCCCCCTCACTGAGCCTATGCACAATCCTGGTGTTGTGTCTGACTCTCAATCCCCTTCCTCTTATTCCTCTCGTTCCTCTCCCCCATCGATCACTTTTTATGTATGTAATATATATAGGCCAATTTTTTTTTATTTGGGGGATTGTTGGGTCAAGATACCGGGAGAAAGCCCCTTCTCTTTTTCAAATAGTGCCACGACAGACCTCAGTATAACATCTCATCCAAAGGACGGCATCTTCGACAATGCACTACACCCCCAGCCCTGCACTGGAGTGTCAGAATTCACTGTACGGGTTCCAAATCCCGACGTGGGGCTTGAACCCACAACCTTATTGACTCACGAGGCGAGAGTGCCATCAACTGAGCCAGGCTGCCAGTAACCAAAGAGTCAGGACGTGCTGGATGCACAAAACACAAGGATTCCTTACCATAGGTCCCATCTATCCTTGACTGAAGGTACAGAGGGGAGTACAGTGAACAGAAAGTGCTCTCCCTAGACAGGCTATCGTACGAAAACTACAATTTCGCTGCACAGAGGCAATTCAGGGGACAATTTCACTGGTGTGCGGGGGGCGGAGAGGGGGGAGAGAGAACAGAGGAAAGAGGGGAAGGAGGAAACCCTGTAATTAAATAGAAAACGTGAAGGTGCAAGGACAAGCGATGAAAAGTAAGCAGGGCGGGCGGTTGCTGGTAAAAGCAGACCCAGCGGGCGGTCAGGCCTTCCTGTCTAAAGCTCGAACTACAAAAGGCCACAGTGCAGTGACCCCAGTCCTCGGGTTCCACCTACATCAGGAGCCAACGCTCCTGTTTTCCATTTTCTCACTTGCTCGCTGATATTAAGCAGCAGTTGCAATTTTCAACCAAATCACTTCAGTGGAAACAGCCCCCCCCCACCCCGACTGGTGTCAGAGGTCAGTATTTGAGGATCAACCCACAGAACAGGGGCGAGGGAGAGTGAGGGAGGGACGGAGGGAAGGAGGAGGAGAGATGAGACAGCCCAGAAACACAAAAACAAGGCTGATCTGGAAAATGTTTCAGGGTCTAAATTTAAGGAGAGGACCTGTGTTTTCTTCAAGGTCAGGGGGTGGGGGAGGGGAGGAAGGCAATAGTGAAGGGGTGGGGGGGGAAGAGGGTAAGGGGGTGGCAATAGGGTAAGAGGGGGGGAAGAGGGTAAGAAGGGGGGAAGAGGGTAAGAGGGGGGGGAAGATTGTTGTTATAATAATAATAATGATGATGACGACGTCTTTTACTTTACTACATAGTTCCCAGCGCTCGAGACCGCTCTATAAATGCAAGTTGTTGTTGATGTTGTTGCCGTTGTCTTTAGCTTGCCTCAGGGGGCAAACTCCTTTTGTAAAAGCAGAGCTGGTCTACTCTGAAGCAGGGGTTATCTTATCTAGACCATTAACTAATTGATATACTAAGTTAAGTTCCCTCCCGATTGCTCCTTTGCAGACTCAAAGCTTTCCTTCTCCTTATCTTGCCTTCGTGACTTATCTCCTTTACACTTGGTATCAGGCTATTTGCTCTTTCTTGCACCTTTTTATAATGCAAAGAGTAGCCCGCTTTAACAGGTCGTTCATCCCCCACATAAAACCCTCCCCACCCCCATTCGACTCCCCCACCCCCACAAGTTCCACTTAGTAACAGACTTAATTCAAGGCAGCTTGCTTTCCGGAGAATCTGGAGAAGGCAAAGAGACACTTTTTTTTCCCTGGGATCTGTCTCTGTGGAGGCAAAGGAAGGAAGTAACCCCCTAGAGAAAGCTAATCCTCCTTTGGTGTGTGTGTGTGGTTCTTCAGGCCAGGCTGGACACAATTATAACCCTTGCATTTGATATATCGCCTTATCGCGTCTTCAAGACGTCTCGAGGCGCTTCACAGAATATACTGTAAAGTGACTTGATCGTGTATTTTGTGGGCGAAACACGGCAGCCAATTGCGCACAGCAGTGTCCCACACAAACAATCGTGGATTGAGTGATCAAATTATTATTTTTATTTTTGAAGGGATTATTGCCCCCCAGGAAAACAATCCGCCAATCGACTAACAACCAGGTTCCGACCTACTGCTAGGTAAACAGGCGTGTGCGTGGAGGACGGAAACTTGTCTAATGTTTCGCCCCGCTGGGAATCGAACCTAGGGTCCCTCTCGCCAGACAACGGTGTGTGTGCACTGCAAATGTGGGTTTGAGGTGGTCGAGCAAAGATATGGACTAGTAAGACTTTGCAGGGGATGGAGAGGAGAAGAGGTTGGAGGGTGGGGGGGGGGGGGAGAAAAGGAGAATAAAAATGTTTTAATGACAAACAATGCAAAAGTAATCCTACCACCAGCACATAAAGGAACTCCTGAAAACCTAATATCAGATTGCAAAGCGATAAGCACATCCACCAGAAGTGAAGACCTGGGCGTGGCACAGAACAGATGCAGAACCGTCAACTAGATTTCCGCGTGCTTCGAGTTTCAAAGCTGAAGATGGTCATATTTCCATTTGGTGTCACTAATGTGGCAGAGGAGGGAGATGAGGAGAGAGGAGAGAAGAGTGGGGGTTGTGTGTGTGGCGGAGGGGCGGGGGGAGAAGAGTAAGTAGACTGTAGTCTCTGGACAGCGCCTGCTGAGAGGCACCTTCAGAACCAGACACAAGAACAATACCAGAGAGATTGACGCACACAGAGACGGCTTCCACTGGCAGATGGCTCGATTCTCTCAAGTGGACGAAATATGCACTCCCGAGGAAACGGGGAAACCAAACCAGGGCTCTTATAACACAGCCTGTCTGGCTATTATCCCCCCGCCGCCCACCCCCCCCCCACCACCAGCCCTCACACCTAAGGCAGCACATCTTGCAGGGATTGAAATGTTGGTGGGAGGGAGGGAGTGGGGGGGGAAAGAGACAAAAGAAAGCTAAGACAGTAATAGAGCCAGATGAGCACACACGACTGACACACACACACACATACAACATACACATCTACTCCCATCAGACAAAAATGCTTTGAAACAGCTTTAAATCCCTTCACTGTCTCGCACCACACTCCTTCTGTGACCCCCTCAAACTCGACCGACTCAGCCACTCCATTCGCTCAGCGAGCACCGGCCTGCTTCACGTCCCCCCACTTAATCCGCCCCAGCAACAAATTACATTTGTATAGCGCCTTTCACGTCAGGAGGACGTCCCAAAGCGTTAGACCCCCTATCAGCAGCCATCCTGTTCCCCGCGCTCTGGAACTCCATCCCGGAGTCCCCCCACAACTCCCCGACTCACTGCCTCCCTCACCTCGTTCAAGGTCAAGTCTTAAGATCTACCTCTTTGACCGTGCTTTCGGTAATCTCACCCCCATCCCACCCCACCATCAGCTCGAGTGCCCAGGCAGGACTGGGTTAAGCAATTTGGCATGTACTTCAGACTTGGAAAGGCTCCGGTCGAGCATAAATCTGTATTGCGCTATAACAGAGTGAGAAAATGAGGGAGAAAGAAACATACTCAATCCACGACTGTTTGTGGGACATTGCCGTGCGCAATTCGTTGCTCCTTTTCGCACACAAAATACACAGGCAATCCACTTTGAAATAGATTCTGTGAAGCGCTTTTCGAGACGCCTCAACGATGTGATAAGGCACTTTATCAAATGCAAGGATTCGTACTGTTAAAACCTACCTCTTCCACCAAGCCTGTGGACGCCCCCTCCATTCCCTCTTCCCTCTTTCTAACCTCCCTCAACACCTGGCTCAGTCAATGTGAAGCTCCCCGAGAACATTGTGGAAATGCAAGTTATTGTTAGAACACTGAGGCGCTCCGGGACTCTACCTCGCGCGAAGGCGCTGTATCAAAGCAAATTGTTGTTGTTCATGACATTCGTTGACCGGGCTGACGCGTGAAGCATGCGCATTCGGGTGAGGTCCCAGAGTGTCCCCAGCCCCCAATAAACTACACCCAGCAAAGCTCAGGGGCCTTTCAGGGGATGGGGAAGCAATCAGAATCTGACCCGTGTAGAACAGCAGATACGTAGAAAAGTGCAAAGGGGTCAGAGGTCCCGATGTACAGCTGGAACCAGAGATTGCATTACAGGTTTTAATCTCCAACCAACAGGTATTAGGTTAAGATGCAGACC